TTCAGACGATTGGTAAGATCCGAGCGACAATACCAATTGGAGACCGAAAAGTTCGCCATACCGTCTTCATAGTACGAGACGATTTTCCTATCGAATATGAAGGAATTTTGGGTATTGACTTTCTGCAGAAACAAAACGCGAAATGCGATCTCGGGAAGAAACAACTCGACATAGGCGACACAACATTGCAGATGCGTCCATTCGCAAAACTGAAATTAAAGCCACGTAGCGAAACAATAGCACGGGCATACACAAAGGTAAACCGAATCGGAGTTATAAATTCCGAAGAACTGGCTCCAGGAGTATTCATAGGCAATTGCCTGGTGAAACCAAAAAGGAATAGATGCCCTAGAAGCATAATAAATATGACCCAAAAGGCAGTAAAAATAAATATGCCGATGGTCAGCGTAGAAACGCTACCGGCGAGCCGAGCGGGCAAAGTTCTCACGTTACGCGCAGCAGATAACGCGAACGTCGAGTCCCCGGGGCCGCGCAGAAAAGGCCTACGTAATCAAATACGTACGGATCGTTGCCGAAAGAAAAAATGTAATGAAATGCCATTGACCGTGACCAACGCCGTGAGCAAGCCAGTCAAGAAAAATGCACTACAAACCGTTCAGCAAATCACGAAACAGCACACACACGAAACAAAACAAATGCGAAAAGCTACGCTGACAAAAAGACGGATAAAATCCGCACGTTCAAAATAGGCGACCTCGTACTGATACATGACGAGACATTAAGACGTGGACGTTCTAAAAAATTAAAGCCACCCGGGGTGGGCCCGTATCGCGTCGTAGAAAAAATCTCCGATGTATACTATAATATACGAGTAAAGCGTAAACTAACCGTGGTGCACGCGAACAGATTAAAATTATTCAGAGAAACTTAATTAAATCAAAAAATATTGTAACGCGCGACGTGTAAATTGCGCCATAAACTAGATCTAAGGGATAGGAACAAATAGGTCACGCATTTAAATTAATACTATGTATCGTAAAAAATCTATATAATTTCAAAAAATATCTATGTACACAATAATGAAAGGCATAAAAAATAATAATAATAAAAATATATAAGGGCCCGTGATCGTATGGCATTCTCCGAGCGATCTGTAACAAACAAGAA